CACGTCATTTTACTCTGATGTCTGACTTTGTATTCTTTTTCACTTTTCAGTGCCTCAGTTATCTGTGGTAAAGGAGATGATTCGGAGGCTGCATGAGCTAAGACACACAGAGCAGGTTCAGAGAGCGTATGCCCTCAACTGTGGCGAGGGAGCCACCGTCAGCTATGAGCTGCAGCTGCGGGTGCTGAGGGAGTTTGGTCTGGCAGACGGAGCCACTGAGCTACTGCAGGTAGGCAGAAAGCAGAGCGTGTTCCCAGGGTTAGGGAGGAGGAGATCTCTGGAGGATGAGATTTATGATTTTTTTATTTTTTACCTGCAGAATCCATACAAGTTCTTCCCAGATGAAAGGTTTGGAGATGAGAGTCCAATACTGGCCCTGCGCCAGGTGGGTCGTTGTCGGGTAAACAGCAGTCCAGCCATGGATAGCATGTTCACAGAGCTGGAAGGAGTAGCAGGCTTCCACCCTCCCTTACCTCCTCCACCTCCCCCATACCACCCCCCTGCCACACCTAGTCACTCACAGCTCAAGGGTGCGTGGCGACCTCGCGTGCCCTTGCCAACCCCCACCCGTTCCTTCTCCTACCCCTGCAACCGCACCCTGATCCAGCGCCATGCAGCCACCAAGCATGGCAGCTCAGACTACTCCTCTGTGCCCAGGCCTCAGCCCCCTGACTGCACCAACCCACAGGCTATGGGCCGAGCTTTGCTTTCAGACCAGCAAGTGGTGAGTGTGTATATGTGCGTGCCTTTTGCATGTCCGTGTGCCACATGCTTCTTTTTTTTTTTTTTTTTCGTTGAGTCAAATGTTCCTAGCGGCTTATGCTTTGGGATATGAATATCTTGATTGTCAGGTTCTGTCATAAATGTTTATCTGTTTTCCAATGCAGATGAGCATGGAGCCGGTTATGAGGGAGTTCATGCCTGACATTGCGCTAGGTGTTTCGGTCATGACTCTGAGGGAGCAGCACATGGCAGAAATGGAGAGGGAAGGCCCTCAGAGCCCCATGGGCCCCTCAGGCCACCACCTGCCTCATGGGCCCTGCCCTTCTTCCCGCCTCAGCCATGGCTATGGGCCTGGACATGGCCACTCCTGCAAGAGACACGCTCCTGAGCCCAAACTGGAAGCTCAAGCTGAGTTCCCTGACCTGTATGACTTTTCCTGCCGACCTGCAACCCCAACCTCCACACACCCACTGCCCTCCTTTGCTGGACCAGACCTCTACAGCCACAGCTGCACCGCCTCCAGCTCCTATCCTCCTCCTTATGTTTCTGACTCTCAGTCCCAGGGCCATACACAGGGTCGGACTGCCTCAGACCCACTACGACTGGATGTCCTCAGTATAACCTCTCAGAGGCATGATGGTCTCCTTGCTAGCCCCTGTGGAGCCCAACCTAGGATGGGACATATTTCAAAGGGGCGATCAAATGAGACAGACCTGACTCATGGCTTAGGCCATTTACGGTCCCCCAGTGGGAATATGGACAACTATGAGGAGAGACACCCAGGACCCAGAGAGACCCCAGAAGAGATGGGTCTAGCTGGAGAATCATCAGGCCCAGGGCCACTCCAGCAGCCTCACAGAAACAGTGTCAGTGAAGAGATTGTCAGAGACCGCAGGTCACCTAGCAAACCTGACTACCCCTATAAGAAATCTGCACTTTAACCCCAGTTTAAAGACCAGGGGTTGGGTTAAGAAAAGGGAAAAAGAGATGAGTGGCTGTCCATCATAATGAATAGCAAAGCACTAAATGTTTGCGCGTGTGTGTGTGTGTGTGTGTGTGTGTGTGTGTGTGTGTGTGTGTGTCTGTGTCTGTGAGAGAGAGAGAGAGAGAGTTTGAGAGAAGCAGGGAAAAGGGGTGGTCGATGGTTGCTATTTATAGAATCTGTCCTTTTGTCCTACCTCTATCACACTGTGCTATCCATCACGCAGTCAGCATGGTAAGAGCTGTAGGTTAGCTGTCAATGCAAGTCTGCCTAGTCCCGCAGGTTTAGAGGATTTCTTAGGCTCTCCGTGGACAGATTGGTCTCTTGCATTTCTTAAGAAAGAGGTTAGCTCTATGCTGCATGAATTCTGCGTGAGGAAGTCGCAACACTAGATGAAGCTCAGTTATAAAATGATGGTTGAAAACAGATTACATTGGTTGGCTCTTTTGTCTCTTGCACAGAATGGGAAGATCACAGGATAAAGATCTCAGTTTACATAAATGAACAATGGCACACAGTCTGGGAATAGAGTATTGTGATAAAATCATATGTAAATATGTCTGGCAGTGTTCTTTCCCCTCCCAGAACTGGTATTTCCATTTCTTCTTTTAGCATGGCTATAACTCACCTGACTATTCTTCTCCTCCTGCTCTGGTTCTGCACTAATGTTGAGTTAAAAAAAAAAAAAAGGCCAAGGTTTGGTCACACAAAGCAGGAATTGGATCCGACTGGAAGTAGGCCATCAGAGCTTGTCAGTCTCAAGTAACCGCGTCTGATTGTGTCAGACGTAACCTATCACAGCCTCACTGTCTAGCTTAAAGGCAGAAGTCTGGTGTTTTCACACGGGGCCGGAGGATCATGGGCAGGTTCATTACTGAGATATAGTGGAAAATATCAGGTTGCCATGACATAAGCCGTGTTCGCACATGCAGCGCTGAATTTATCTAGACATCACGCAACAGAGGTGCAAGTCAACGCAAAAGCCTGACTCAGTCTTATTGGGTATTAGACAGTCTGTATGATGTCAGATCCAGGCAGCTTCGCTGCCTAAACCACAAAGTATTTCAGAAGCAGACTACTTCCTGCTGTGTGCTACATGTGAGAGAGGACATTTGTGGATGACCTTATTCTACTGAAAATGTCTGTACAGCGATCAGATCAAGCGCTGGGGATTTGTTGGATCTGCAGCTAGGCCAGGTGTGTGTTTGTGTGTGTGAGAGAGCGTGTCTTTGTGCAAGGATAACTTTGATACACCTAGGTGTTAACACAATCTCAGTACTGTACACTCCCATGTTTGGTCGGGTCTTTTTGTACATATCAAGGTCTGAAATGATTAAGCGGTGTTTGGCAGAGAGTGGTCGTCAGCGTGTTAGTTTCCTCCCATTTCAAAGTAAGTAATCAAATCTAAAGCCTTAACTAGCGCTTGGAATATTCACTTTTAGCTATCTTTATTCAATCAAGTATGATGTCTCTATAATGCCACCCCCGTTAACTGCTTATTTGACTGTTGTCCACATTAAAGATACACAGACACTGCAGCTTTTCTGGATGGTGGAGGTGGGCTCAACCATGCCCAAATGTTTAAACCATGTCTCCATCTCGCCAGCTTGTCGGAGATTGTGGATGTGCAGAGCCAGTGTTGATGCTTTTAAATATACTGTTAATGAGCCGCAGCAGCTGTAGCTCCACAACCCTACAAGTACACAAATTAAAAACCTGTAACAGCCGACAGCTGGCATTCGACCTCACATACGAGTATCATTGCACTGTAGGAGCCGTCTGTTTATTAGCTGAAGGGAAAAAGGAACAAATGAATCTCGAACAAAAGGAATCTTATATTGAAGAAAAGTTGGCGATTGCTGGCTCATATCTCCAATGAAAATTGTATATAATGAATTGAGTTCCACATGATGAATTTTTAATGGTTTCTATCACATTTTAGTGGTCGTTGAAGGTCTGTGTTTTTACTGTAGTGGACAACACTGTGTACTTTGTCTCTGTCATGAAAACTCACTAAGAATGTGTGGTATAAACAGAAAGATTGTGTCTCAGAAACTATTTTTGTTCTTAAATGTTATGCATCTAGGGCAGTTTGTTTGATATAGTAGGTGCTGTGGATTGCCATGTTTGTAGAACACTTTTCACCCCTTTTTCCTTTTACTTTAAAAGTAACAGGAATATGTTGAGGATCTGAAGATATTAGCTCTATGCTTAGCAGTGATAGAGTTGCCAAGCAGAAAAATCATTTTTCCATCTTGGTTGCTTCATGGGGAAAAAATGCAAAACTCCAGATTCCTCCCCGTGTTCATGTTGGGTGGTTGTTTTATTTTCCAGGACAATGTTCCATTGAGTAAAAGTCCTTGTTTTGCTCTTTTGCTGTAGAGAAGTCAGTGCCTTCCCCTGCCTGCGGCTGGGCTTTTATTGGAGAAGTGACTTTGATGTCTATGCAAGCTCTTTTCTACCAGCTTACCAGCCTGCATCAAATAATTCTTTGAAATCTCATGTAGCTTGTTTTGTGTACATAGTGTTATTTAGCACCTTTTGAAATTGAACCATCTGAAATGTGTGATTGCTTGTGTTGATTTGTAACAGGTACACTGTGCCTGTATGGTATCATAGAAACCATGTTTGTAGACTGATATTAAGTTGCATTTAGTTTCACGGAATCTATTTTTCTACTGTCGCCTCAAAACGGTGCATAACAGTGGTCAACTTGGGCATCCTCAAAATAAACTGGTTTGATATTATGGAATTAATTTGATCTCACATGGGTTGTTTGTTCACTTGAAATGTCAAGTACATTTTTCTTGTATATGATCATATATTCAGTTTCAAAGGGCTTCACATACATACAGTAAAGAAAATTATCCATACATATCTGGAGCTTATCTCAGCTGTCATGGGCTGAGAGGCAGGGTACACCTTTGACAGGTTGTTCATCCACTGTAGGGCTAACAGTTTATAACCAACAGGTAACCTAAGAAGCTTTTTGGACTGTAGAGAAAGCCAGACGAATGACACAGAACCCACACATGCGCAGGGAGAACACAAAAAGGCGCCAGCTGACCCAGAACCTTCTCACTGTGTGACAACAGCGCAAACCACTGACATGGTCAAAACAGACGAGCAAACATATTTTTTAAGTTAAAAAATAGAAGGCTGACATAATATGAAAAGGTGCATCTGCTCTATAACCTACCAAAGTTTAAAAAACAGCATGCTTAGTGCTTCTGTGTCCATTATCTACTTAAATTGCTCTCAGCTTTTCTTTTCTTAAATAAAAACATCATTAAAAGTTTCTTGAAAGGGGGGGGGGGTGGGTTTATCCCTGAAACTCTTTCCATAATTTGCAGGAAATAACCGTCAGAAAGTAGATCTGGTTTTATAATCTAAAATAAAAAGCTCCAATGCATGCTCTTGTTCAAGTTTTAGTTTACCTTACAGCAGATTTCTAGTACTTTTATTTTGAGCGTTAGTCAGTATTTTCATCACAGTGAGTCTTTCACATGACATTTACAGACCGGTTTGTCTTAGCAGTGCAAGGATTATGGCATCAAATTCAGCCAAACTTTCACACAATAATCATGTTCATTCAACATAAGCTCTGTATGTTCACAAATGTAATAGTGTGCAATATTTATGTGAGGTAAACTTTAATCACAATCTTTAAAGTTGAGGCATCATCATAACCCAGTTATGACACGAACCTCAAACCTTCAAATAATAAAGTAAAAACTTGAAACTAAAACTTTTTTTTTTTTTACCCCCAACTTCAAACATCACATTGATCGCAGCAAAACGGTTTATTCAAGAGGAGGGTGACACATTCAGTCCAGACAGCCCGTGAACATGGCGTACGGTGGCAGCAGAGTGGACGCCTTGTTACTGATTTCCGTCGCTGGTTCTGCGTCTTTTTCTGGCCTGCAGCTCCTCAAAGAGTTGATGTACAGCTTCGACTGTGACTGTCTGATGTAGACACAGAAGTGTTAGGTCTGAGATTTGAGCAGAAGAAAGAAGATGTGACTCACACAGACATCCACTTCTCACCTTTCCTTCAGAGGCACACTGCTCTAAAAATTCACTGATTGAGGTCGTCAGCTCGTTGAAACCTGAGGGAAGAACACAAGATTAATTAGTCCGCCGCATCAATGCGCCAGTGCTTTGAATTTCACTTTACGCAGGACAACTGACCCCGTGGCTTCCCTCCCTATCCTCACCGTAAATGACCTCCAGCTGCTGTACACGGTCCATCGAGTTCATTAGCGCCATCAGTGGGTGCTGCCCGAAGGGCTCGTGCAAGCCTCTCTTCTCATAGGCCAGAATAGTGTCAGACTGATCCAAGAGAAACTGCACCTCAGCAGCAACATAGGCCCTCTGAGGAAATGCAGCACACAGGGGACAGGCATTCAGAAACAGGGATAACTTGCAGCATTCTGGCTTTTGTGAGTCTACATTACAATCTTGGAGCTAGAAATTCTGTCTCACCTTGCAGCTCGTGCAGGTGCAAAGCTCAGCGCGCCAGCTGTAAGGCCAGAACACCGCTCCCCGTCTCAGCCTCTCTAGCCCACGGGCCTGCAGCTCCTTCAGCTTGCACTCCACAATTTTCGTTGTAGCCATCGCAGGGCTGCCTGTCATTTCCTCGTGAGTTCGTTTGCCAGGGGAACTCCTGTTTACAGCTTCCTACGACACAAATGAGATGGGGTGAGTGACTGTATTATACAAGAGGCACAGGCACACCTGGGCTTGGTGAAACATCTCCACTCATGCAGGAATGCAGACGCATCCTGGGGAAGTCTCACTGCGAGTGACGCGGTAAGACGGTTGGGCGATGAAAATCGCCAGTTTACAGTAAGCTAGCCTGTGAAGCCCGGCCAAAGTCATCTACAGAGCAGAGGAAGCTGTGCCTCATGGGTCATTTCTCCTCTAATTACCCCAGAGGAGAGGAAAGCACGATAACAGGAGCTGGTGCCTGCTGTCTGGCTCATATTCTGCTCATTACTCTCCAGCCCCACCTAGTGGCACACTGGCATTCAGAAAAGTTGGACAGTGTTGCTCCAAATGAGGTCACAAAATAGACAAAGGTAAAATATACTCCAGAACATAAATAGGAGAGTAACAAAGCAAAGCAAGTGGTAGATTATGGATTCCTTTCAACTTAAATTATTTTTTGTTTTGTTTTTTATAATGTAATTTATGCATTATGAGAATAATAAGAATAACACAACTAAAAGAATAAACATGTAAACATAGATCTGAATTCAAATGCCATTGTTTGATTATAAATAAGTCAAATGTAAAGTAATGTTCTGCCCTCATTTTAACTTGCACAAAGCCATTTTTAGTTCTCCACTATCCCAGAATCCATGCAAACAGCAGAACCGTTTCTCACCTCTGGTTCTGTGCGCTCATCACTAGAGGACGGTTCCTCATCCTTTCTTTGACCAGCCTCACGGTCTTCCCCCTCAATGTCGACCTCTACTTCCTCTTCGGCATCACCCACTTGGATCACAGGTGGAACTAAATGGAAAAGATGAATTAATGATTATCTGAATTTTGCTGCTAAATGTCTGCCTAGTTGGTTACAGTCAAAAAAATTTGTTACCTGCGATGTGGGCAGCATACGTCCACAAGAAAGGAGCCTTGTTCATGCAGGCCTCACATACCATCTCTTGAAGCTCCTCGGGTTCAACCACAGGGCAGCCTAAGTGCTATTTAAGGCCAAAAATAAATAAATAAAAGAGCAGAGGACTCACAGAAATGATAACATGCAGATCAAAAATCCTCTCAAGCTTACCCTGCTGTGTAACCAATCCTCACAGATGATGCACTGAATCATCTCGTCTTCATCCTGTTAAACAGATTTATTTATATATAGCCACAGATGACAGAGAAACAAGCAGCAGGGTTTAGGGTGAACAACAACAACAACAAAAAAGACGGGCCTGGTCATCGGTGTCTGGGTACGGCCGGTGACACGTGCAGTAGAACCCACTGAAGTTGTGATTGTAGCGATTTCTAATATTTTCCTCTTCTTTAACCTAAAAAGAAAGAGGGGGAATGAACAATTGAAACAACTGGAACGTATGGCACACGTGGGAAACACATCTGGGAGACAAGAGATTCAAAGCGTCTCACGGGATTTAGCTGGCAATGGAAGCCCCCAAACTTTCTGTTTCCACAATCACAGCGAAAATTTCTGCAAGAAAAATAGAAATATTAGAAAACTGTGGGCCAAAAGCTGAATGCTCAGTCTACTCAGTCAACATAGAAAGGTTTTTACCTTTTGGTATACAGTTCAAAGATGTCGTGTCCATCATGGCATTTATTGGCGCAGGCCAGACAAACCCCAGCAGGCTCTGCATCATTTGGAGTGCAAGTGTTGCAGGCAAACACCGCCTGTCTCTTCACATAACCCTGCAGAGCAACAACACACGTGGCATCAACACACAGCATCAATTCACAAAATATTACTGATTTGACATCCGTAACAAAGAGAAAATGTGCTTTAACATAACAATACTTCCACCGTGCTTCTCATAAACATCGGTGACGAGAACCACACAGAAACTCAGCGGTGCAGATTGCAACATTTAACACAAAGAAAAACAAAACGCTTACAATGCACAGACCACACTACAATGCAGCATTTGGAAAAGGCTACTAGGCGTACAATGGGCGACACACAGGCTGCAGGGCTGCTGTGCAGGAAGCTTCTCCTACCTTGGAGTAAGAGCAGTTGTCTGGGTCGCTCCCAGCCAGCACACACAAAGCCTTCTCGAGCTCTTCTTCGCTGGTAAGAATATCATCAATATCCGAGTCGCCCTTGTTCGCTGCCATCCTGGGAAGTGAGGGTAAAGATGACTCCAACGTAAACAATGAAACACCGAAGACTGAGCAGCAGCTGCGGTAGCGCCACACTGTTGACAAACGACTGTTCCTGGCGGGAGTTTAGGCCGAGACCACGTGGAGGAAGTGACGCAAGATACCTATTCACGACCTGCTATTGTTTAAAAACAAATAAATAAATAAATAAAATTTTAAAAAACGAATTAAAAAAAATTAAACTCTACTGCACTTTCATTTTCAGTGGTTCCCTTAAAAATCTAGTAGTGTTTTATTTATTATTATATATATATTTTTAAAGTACTTTTAAATAAAAATAAACACATTACAACGCAATAAGCAAAAATAATAGTAACATATATAGAACAAAAACACCATCCAAAGATATTTTACTCATCTTACAAGCGGTAATCTATCTTTAATAATAAAACAGAGCTGATTTAGGAAACATTAGTTCATCCTTTATCAAAAAAATTAAACGTTAGCTATTATAAGTGGCCCCTAATAATAAAATAGATTCCGTTTCGGGTCTATTTCCGTTTTGGGGTTTACAAACAAGTACGACTGATTTTTATCTGTTTATTTTCTTTTTTACATATATATATATATTTTGTTTGGATCTAGCATCACAGAGGCTTTAAAGGGGCATATCAGGAGAAGATGTTTAAGTGTTAATTCGCCCAATATATAAATAGACGAATTGCCTTAAGTTTTGTCTGTAGACATAGGCAATGGTCATATTTCTATAACAGCTGGCGTATATTTCTCAAAATAGAAACAAGTTGTAAATTGGTGAGTGGTGTGAACTATCATAAAAGGAAAACAAAAAAACTCTCCACTCCAGTGGAAACAATGGAAATGAACAGTGCTGGTCCCAAAGAAGGAGAGGCGAGGGAGCAAGAAAATAATAGAGCTCTCTGCAAGTTTAAAGAATATAATATACCCTACCCTTTTTTATGGTTTAGTCTGTGGTCTGTCCTCCTTCCAGGCAATTGAGCAGCGTCCGTTGTGTATTTTTGAAATAGTTTAGTTTTTGAAAACCTCGTAGAATTAAGAATTGTATTCAGTTAGATTCTGGACAGGTTGGATGCGTGGATTTAAATGGATTTAATGGATGGATTTAAAACAAAATAAAATCCAAACCCCTGCATGTGTGGTTATTCAAGCGATAGGCTGAACAGTATCTAATTTGGGATGGCAAACAAATCCAGAGCATCGATGAAATAACAGAGAAACTGGGACTGGGGGAAATTGTTTGCAGGCGAAATATAGAGTTGAATATAGAGTTGAATCCATAATGAATAACATTTTAAAATTGTGAATAACATAATGAACAACACCTGGTATATAGCAAGTGCAATTAAGCCAAAACATGAGTGTTAATGTGCTACCTTTTTACTAACTGAAAGCCTATAGGAGCTGGAGTTTTAACCTTTGGATCACCACGTGCAGGACTTCACAGTACTCCAAAAAAGACTTGATGAAAGCATAAGCAGCAAAACAAATCCCTTTAGGCACAAAGGCCAAATGTTTCTGTCCTCAGTGCTAGATAATGCACCCAGTAGTCATCACAATAAAACTTCAGTAAAATCATAAAAGTGTGTGATATTAAAAATAAATTGAAACAGCAGCAACTGTTTGTTGTGGTTAACACCTGCAGAGGTGTTTGCGCACAAACACACGTGCCGTTGTTTCCTTCCTGTCTCTCTCTTGCACTCCCTCTAATGATCTTCATATTACTTTTCTCATTTTATAACACTGGCTGTGGCATTCCACAAATTCTGATTAATAACCTTTTGTTGTTGGTTGTTTTTGTGCCACTTGGGTGGGAACCCCCAATCGCTGACTTTGAATTAGATGCCTTTTCAGTTTAAATGGTAAATGGCCTGTATTTATAGCGCTTTACTAGTCCCTAAGGACCCCAAAGCGCTTTACACAACCAGTCATCCACCCATTCACACACACATTGGTGATGGCAGCTACATTGTAGCCACAGACACCTTGGGGCGCACTGACAGAGGCGAGGCTGCCGGACACTGGCGCCACCGGGCCCTCTGACCACCACCAGTAGGCAACGGGTGAAGTGTCTTGCCCAAGGACACAACGACCGAGACAACGACCGAGACTGTCCGAACCGGCAACCTTCCGATTACAAGGCGAACTCCCAACTCTTGAGCCACGATCGCCCCGCCAGCATGGGGTTTAAGCATGGGGAAAACATGTTGGACGTTTCGATAGTTTTCCAACGGATGGCGCTAGTGTGACATGCTTCTCTTGTCTGTTACGGGTCAAAAACTGGAAGAGATGATGAATGTGGAGGGACGAAATAAGTATTAACGCATCTCGTCATTTATTATTAGAAAGGCAAATCAACAGAACTTGTTCTAATTATTCAAATCATGAATTAACATTTGAGGGGTTTGAAATGGGAAAATATGACGATGATATATATATATATATATATATATATATATATATATATATATATAGTTAAGAGACGTCTTTTCGTTAATTATCTTGTTACATTTTATAGATAAACAATGACTCGATTATTCTATATCATAACAGGAAAGATAATCATTAGTGGAAGCAGGAAGGCGCGTGAAAGCAAGACGCGCTGTGATTCGACAGTCAGTCAGGCAGGGGTGGTGTTTTCCGAGGGGGTCGTGAAGGCGGCATCAGTCTCCTGGATCCTGGGTGTGTGCGGGCAGTCCAGTTCAGAGACTGAGAGAGAAAACACCAGCAACATCTCAACGTGAGCCCAGCGGTGCCTGTCATCGTGCTTGTTACTCCTTCTCCAGCGAACGGGCTGAGAATGGCAAACTACGCGAGCTAGTTTCTGAAGAGGACGCAAATTCAAGGGGAACTGTGCTAAAACTGCCAGGTTAGTTAGCTCTCTATAGCCTCCCGATGTCAGCTTTATCTAGTTGAGGGAGTTGCCTTATTTTTAGGTAACCAGGAGCTGTTTCCGCTAACAATTCACTCATTTCTTATGGGCACGTATTACGACTGTGTTCAGCCTGTAAAGCTAGGAAGCTATCTTGCGTTTCCTAATTGCACGCCATCGGTTAGCTCTGGAGATTGTCACTACATAGCTAGCCAGCTAACGTTAGCAGTTGGGGTTAGCAAAAGAGGGTCAGTGTGTGGGATTCGCTGATGCTCAGCCAGATGCACTGTAATATTACGTTTGGAAACTATATCATGCTAACCACAAGACCGTGAATATCCAAGAGACAGACTGGTAGAAGACGTCACTTATTGCTTTGGAGCAACGTATCAGTAACCGAGCAGTGAACTTAATTATTCCCCAGATTGCTCCCTGGTTGGCTGTTGTGACGCTAACGTGTGTGTGTGTGTGTGTGTGTGGGGGGGGGGGGGGGGGGGGGGGGGGTCTATTCTCGTCTGTCCAGGTTGAGTCATTAGTTGCACCATTTACCTGCAAAAAAGGACCAGGGGCACAGTGGAAATGCAGACTTTCCTGAAAGGCCGGAGAGTCGGCTACTGGCTCAGCGAGAAGAAGATGAAGAAACTGAATTTCCAGGCCTTTGCTGATCTGTGCAGGTTCGTTAACTAACTCCAGTTTGTGTGCAGTTGAAATGATTGAAGAACAGCCGTCAAACTACATGCATTCACATAGTTGGCCCCCATGGTTAACAAGTTATGTGACAATTCATCGAAACTTTCCCTTAAGGCTCTGTGACAAGGAGGACTCTTCTCACAGATTTAAGCCCTTAGGCACTTTTCACACAAACGTGCTCACCAAATCTTCTTTTCTGTTGTATTGTGGAGAAATGGGTTCCCCAAAGGATCAGGCACAAGTCTGTTTTGTGTATGTCCTGGCACAGTGCTTGTTGGTGCATGGTAAATGTGTAACAGGATAAGCTGACAAAACCAGTTTTATTATTAGGTCAGTTGGCTCAGAGCGTTAAACTTTAAAGCAGCTAAATGTGGTCTAAAAGAAAAAGTCTCTTCCTTATTAACGTATCTAAAAAGTAGCATTTGATGTTAAACTCTGACCACCATATCATTTTTTATCATATGTAGATGGAACAGTGCTAGCTCAGTCTGAGGCTTTTGTCTCTGTTTATCAACAGAAAATAAACCTGTTCTTACCAAATGCATCGTCCTAACATGAATTTAGTCAAGGCTGGTGTAAGAATTTGCACAGATTCCCCCAGCCTTGACAGACGCATCTATGTGAGTGCTGTGTGCACACTATTTTGTTGTGTCTCTTATCCAGCTGAGTCAAGTGTTACACAAGCTGAAGGGCCTATATTTTCTTAGCAGATGTGAGCTCGTCCTTGCTGTTTTACGATAGGTGCTGTACAGTATATCAGATTGTCAAAGGGCATTAGGGCGAGACAACCGCTTTATAGTCTCTCTTTGCAACAGCTGCCTAGCTGCTGGTGATGCAGCAGTCTGACGTTTTCAGTACAGATACTGAAGTACAGTATCGGTTTTGGGTACCATTCGGATACAAGTGCTAATGGACTTGAGATTTTTCCACTAATATGAGCCCTGACTTAGACGTTGTTTCCTGACTTTGTAAACAAAAAATTTTAGTAATAAATGAGCAAATACATTTAAAGTGAGGTCAAAAAAAAAGGGGGGGGAAAGACAAACCCTGGTGCTTTTATTAGTTTCTGTCTTCTACTCTCACTTTCATCCTGTAGGTGTCTTTTTCAGTGTGTGCAACTCCCCAGACACTTCAGACAAGAGATGGGTGTCGTTAATCAAGCAGACACAATTTGTTACCTTTGAATATTTGCAATAAAAAAAAATCTGAGCAACTGTTGAATCTCGCATAGCAATATGAAAGGGTGAGAGAGAGAAGCTCTAGCTGGTTCACTGTGCCGTTCTTTGTTTTAGTAGGTATCATACTAGTTTCCAGTATAAGTATTTGGCTCGATGTGACCTTACCTACTTGCACTGTATGAGGGCTAGTTATCACATAGTAACATGTCTTGAAAATCTGAGAGAGGCTGGACAAAACAATGTAATCTCCGGTCCTGTGATTTTGCACACATGTGCCTCAGTACATCAGATATGTTGATATGTTCCAGAAGGATTTTCACCTTTTCCAACAGTGTGTTGCCTCATAAAGCAACCTGATTGAGTCAGCACAGATTACCACACTGTAATCCACGAAACATTTTTAATCTCTACGTAAAGCTCCGAGCATGCCTCCCCTCCTCCCTGCATCCTGCTCACCACCTTCTTCCCTATGAGCTGGATATAGGTTTGTTCGATATGTTTGACACGAAGAGCTCTGGCTCAGCATTAAGAATTGGTCTTTGTGACGCATAGCCTTTGAAAACTGCAACAAATGGCACAGCAGATAACTGCAAATGAGCCACAAAGTGAATGTGGCTTGTATATGTTCACACATGACTACTTCTCCCTGTTAGTCAGGGAAACTTTTCTTCAAGTTCTCCTTTTCCTACTCCAGTCATGTAGCATAGAAAACAAATGTTATGAGGAAAGGAAGGATGGCACTAAGAACACCCTACCACCTTGCATGTATGTTTTCTAAAAAGCCGCGACTTTTGAAAAGAGGTACAGGATGTGGCAATTTTAAACTTTATCTGGACCTGGTGTTGTGCGTCTGAGGAAGTCTGTTCCAAATTAAAGAGACTTTATGTAGTATTAAATTCATTTAGTGACCCTTTGTGCTTAATTTCATGAAGTGCAATTTTTACTTGATGGTTTAAATTTATCTATTTCCCTGCATCATTTATTATTATGAAAGATAAACCATGTGTCAGTGTTACTTTTAAACAGTGACTGGACAGAATTTCCCCTGTCATCATGTGGTAAGCAGCTGACATTGTGTGTGCATAATTGAAGAGTCTGTCCTGTCTCTTGCATCTGGACTTTGGGGTTCCTGCTGGTCAGAGCTAGTTGAGTTTATGTCTGCATGTCAGCTTGCACAGCAGTTGAGAGGCATCTTTTCAGTTGGCGCACATGCCTGATGCTTTAAAAAGCAGCAACCCTGATTTTCATTAGATTATCTGAAAATATTATTTTCTCATTCTTTAGTTTCACCACAACTCTCATCTACATTATACTACAATATACTAATAATAACAAATGCAAGGAGTTTACTGAAATTGTTGGAAGACTTGTATATAAACCTGGGATGAGCAGAAAAAGATAAATAAACTAATAATTAATAACATGTATATTTAAAAGGTAAAAGGTCTCCAATTCAAGTGCAAGAGGAGAAGAGAGGAAGGGCCTCTAGTCTAAAAGTCTGCCAAATCAAATATGTGAATCCATCTGCTGTGGTGATCCCATGTGAGTAAGGGAGTAGTCGAAAGAAGCTTTGTATTTTTTGACTAGCAAAAATCAGCTGCCTCTCCAGAATGTTCTTCATGCCGTTTAGCTCACAGAGTCGTTGGAGCAGAACATCAATTTCTGAATTTTCAAAATCGAGAGTAATTCATTTAATCTAGGTTTTAAACAGATAAGGGTTAGATAATAATTGGTACTTTTTAAAAATTATTTTTTTAAATGCTCAAAATACTTTTCTGTATGGTTAACTAGCTATGCATAAAATGTTATTTACTTTATGGTCACCATCTCATTTACACCCTTTGTCAACTTGGTAACTGTTAATGCCACACGATGTGCCTTAAATGCTAAACTTCCAGGTTTATAGATGTACAGTGTGCCTGTATCAAAGTGGTTGTGTATGTGTGTGAGAGAGAGAGAAAGGTTTCCCTTTCACTGTGTTGACCGTGTAACAATATAGCAGAGCAGAGGATCTCCATATCTCACGAAACTAAAGACCTCATTCACGTCGCATGAAACGCACCAGCTGCAGTATTAAATATCCACATTGTTGTGAAGCGGTGAATGGTTGCACTGCTGTTACCATGGGACTGCAACCTCAAAAACTGCTTGCTTGGAAAGGATGAATTGGATGTAGTGTTAGGCTGGTGGTGTTCTCTTTGTGAATTCCCCCAACTAGGAGTCGCTGCATTAAGCATTGGAGTTTTTCCTGTTATGCTTTGCTGTGTAGAAACTCTTTGGCTAACTTTCTGTATTGACCTAGTAGGGTTTCGCCGAGCCAGCTGAACCAGGATTGTACAAATGCCCTCTCTTCTGCTTTCTGTTTGGGCTGAGGTTTTCCTCTCAGTGCAGGTGTTAGGACCCAGCAGGTTTAAATGTGTGGTGCCAGTTTAGTAATGCTCCTCTCTCAAAAGAGATAAGCCATCTCACATTTAAATTTATGCATATATATTTAAATACTGCTGTGTCCTATTGTTTTTTGTTTTTTTATTTCTACCCAAAGACTAGTATTTCTGTGCTGTTCCCAAAAGGTAGAAACTGCACAGAAACTGCATTTTCTCCAGGTCTGTGGGTGGGATTTAGTATTTCCATCATAATAATCTTACTTGCAGATAAATTTTGTGGCTAAATTAAGATAATGTTTCATTTATTTCCTATCTTCAGATGCAGAAGGCTTATGTGTCCCTGGTTCAGGCATCTTATTGTTCATGAAGTTAAACTATTGGAGAGAGATGAGTTTCTGTTTAATTCCTCTTATGGAGGGGAACTCCTTTGATGTGAATTTACATAAAGATTTGTGTTAGATTAAAAGGTAGTGGTTCTCAAAAACCTATTCAAAATTCACACCACGTGTTCTACCAATTTTAATCTTTTTATTTGTATAATTACCAATAAAAAAAAGTGGATTTAGTTGAATTTTAGTTAAGTAAAGTTTGGTGTGATGACGTCAGCACACTCTTGTTTGTTTAGTTTCCCTTAGAACTTAGTATTCGGTTTGGGGGGAAATTATGGGGAAAAAAAACTGTTTCCACACCCCACCTGCAGTGGCTCAGCACCCCACAGTTGGAGGAACCACTGTTATGAAAGCAAGACAAGTGCGGACAAATGATTGAGAAACATGGTGTAACACAAATGGAAAAATAAATATTTAAAATCAGACCAATCTTACATCATTTAGCTGTGTATGTGTGCACGTGAGCGAGCGTACGCGTGTGTTTTGTTTTATTTATTTATTTTTAATTCTGCTTTTCACTTCCTATCAGTCTTCTGCTCTGAATGTTTGAGCCTACGTCTGTACGACTCAAAGACAACAAAGGCATCTTCACCTACACTACATGATATACTTTTATATAACACGCCTTTAGCGTTTAGGTCCTTAAATAAACAGCAATGTCTGTTTCTGAGCATTTTCATCTTATATCTTCTACAAAATAAAAAAGTCTTATTTTGTCCTTTTTTTCAGGAAAAGAGGAATAGAAGTTGTTCAGGTAAGAAGAGCACACAGTTTGATTTTGTGTGTTTTTTACTTCTTTGGTCATGTGTTTGTTTGTTTGTGCTGTGATACTTTTGAATCTCTGCTATTCATATTTGATGCCTGAAAATCAATCCACCTACAACACTTTACATTTGATATATTTCTTTGGACAATTACTAAGTGCATAACCTCCTACAGACAGGATGTAGTTTTTTCACAGTCTTGCTTTTTTTTGTATGTAGCGTCATTGGTCACAGTATATCACAATAGCCCATGTTCCTTGTTAAGCTGTGATGAAAGTCATCCCAACTTGATATTTCAACACCTGACCTCAATTCAACTTGTTTGTCACAAGAGTCTATTTGGGCGAGCAGCTTCTCATGTTGTGAGTGTGTGTGGAGGGTTGAAGTATTCAGATCCTCAGTTAAAAGTCATATCAGCAGAAATACTTTTATGATATAAAATTGCATAAATAGAAGAAGATACAGCTCTTTTCAGTGGGAGCTGTTGGTGTACCAAAATAAATACTAGTCTGCCTATAGTAATAATTTACCTCTGAGTGCTGAGCTATGTCCCAGTAAATACGGACCTCAGGGAAGGAAAAGCTGCTGTCATTAACGGCTCTTGCCCAGCATACTATAGAGTGTAAGTAAGCACAGGCCATTCAGCAGCATAGTAACAATTGTCACGAAGTACTGGGAGCTCTGTGCACAACAGTATCTGTCACTTAGAGTGCTCTCTGAAATTAAAGAGGAAATTATCCTGCCTTTCTCTCAGCCTTTTACTTTGTTTCTTTTTATCTTGTGGGATTGGGTTTTGTTTTGTTTTTCTCCTTCACTTTGAGGTTATTTTTTTCCTCTCGCTGTGCTGACAATATCAGCACACCCAGAAAGAGTCTTGTCCTGGGAATAGTCCCAAAGTAAGCAGGGCTTTGTTTCCCACTATGCATTCAGCCCCTCCTGGGAGACCGCAGATCCTCACAGGCCCAAAGTTAGGATGTACCCAGGGCTTGGAACGGTGCTGCTATCTTCTCTGTTACTAGTTCATCTACAACTACCTGCTTTTCACTGTTGTGGGGTTTGTTTGTTTTTGTTTTTTTTCTCCTGACTTCTATAAATCAGCATAAACTTGTTAGTTTTAGCTGGGCTGTCACTGCCAGTCGAGACAGTTCAGTTTACTAACAGAGCCAGAAGTGTTTTTGAATGCACACCAATGATTTGGGTGGCCGCGCTGTGTCCGTTCCTGTCAGTGCCTGCAGTGTCGTGGCCACATCAGAAACAAAGATAACAGTATCCGTTGTCCTACTTTGGCCTTGTTGTACAAAGATTTAGTTTCCTATTGCACTAGTGAATTTGGAGCCTGGGGACTCTTATTTTCTAATCTATGATATGTTTTCTGATGTTTAGACCACTGGGATAGTGCATATATGGGGAAAGTCAAAACATAGGTCCGCGTTAAACCCAGTCTTTCTGGAGAGGACACAGGGAGACAGAAAGCAGGTAAACAAATTAGTCTTGAAGTTTTAATTGGTTTAGAGACTTAGAAAATTACAGTAGTGGGAAGATTATTATTATTATTATTATTATTATTATTATTGTTTGGTCACTGTTTTAAGCTTTTAAGAAAGCATACAACTTTTGCTATTTTTGTGGATGTCAAGTCAATTTAACCTTCTCTTGCTGCTTGGTGCAGATTTTTATTTATTTTTTTTGTCAGCCAGTGTAATCGGCTAACCTTGTTCCATGTGGTCTGACAGACAGGCTGGCCCTTGTGCTATCAAGTCAACCCTGAAAATCCAAGGCTAAATGAATCCTTTTGGCATAAAAACCTGTTGATTCATTGTCGGTTTACAGCCTTAATGCACAATAAATTGCTTGTTTTCTATGTGCTGTATGTACGACTTTGATCAATCAGAAGTGTTTTAATGAAACCACCCAACAGCTTCTCAAGTAGAAACTTCTTTTTTTTCCGTCTTTTGTTATATCAGACTTGTGTATGTATGACTTTTGGATAGTTTGTTGGACAAAAGAAGCGAAAAATCTTTAAGTTCAGGTCCCCACCAATAGTAAATGGGTAAATCGCAGCCCCACTGTGATTTGTTTTACAGACCAGTTGTTTTTTGTCTTGTTTTGTTGTTGTGTAGAAAAAAGCTCCAAAGTTGAAGTGACAGAGTTAATGAGGTGCACTTCCCGAGAGGTTGTATTCCCCAAGAGGTTGAAAGTGGTTATGACGTCACCTCGTGTGAACAGATCTTTGCTAAATCTGGCCGCCCAAGGGACTTAATTTTATATTTCTGTTTTCAGTGTGGGAAACCCTTCTGTATGTATATGCGTCAGGACTGACGAAAGTGAAAAAGATTCCATTGTCAGACTTTAATGATTTCTCCTCTAGGCTCTACCAAGGCTTACCTTTGCTGTACCCCTCATCCCTCTCATCTTTCCATTACCTCCCCTGTGCACGTTTTTGAAGCTCATCAATACTGACCCTTTAGCACTGAGTCTACAAGAGCCAGTTTCCCCATGATCCCTACATTAGGTTGTGTATATCATGGGTATGATGAGATTAACTCACCAGGGTTGTTCTCCTGAAAGCCAGTATTCTCTCTCAGGAAAAATCTCAAATGATGAGCCAATTTTTGAGTTGGCTGCCCAGAGAAACTTATCAAGTCGCTGTTTTTATTATCCTTGGTGCTTCAAAAATTTAAAGGTAATTTCCGGCATACTACTTTATCTCTTCCCCCAGTTTTTATGTGACATGTGTGCAGTGTAGTGGGAGTTCAGGGGTGGTTGACGAATGATGTCTTGTCAGTGGGCTTGGTACAATTATGCTGATGCTTTATTTCTTCATCTCACCTGAAAACATCTTGGCAGTTTGTTCATTTTCATCCTGCATGACTTGGTCCGCCTTTTAAGGAAGTTACTTAAAGTTTTTGTAAGCTACCTACAAAAGCAGTAAAATCAGACCTGTCTAAAGCATTTATGTTGATCGTGTGATGAAAGGCAGTTCCTCAAAAGCTTAAATTGCACAATCAATTCAGCAGGGATAAGTCTTCTCTCTGTAAACTGCTGAGGAGAGAGCCATTAGCCTAATTAGCTCCCAGTTTGACCTTCCATACAGTTTTTATGTGGAGAATTTGGAGACTCTCCTTTTGTGTTAATCTTTTGCTGATGTGAGATATGTCTGGCAGCCACAGTTTGTCTTAGACTTGTGCATGCATGTTTTTTGTTTTTTTTTTCTTTGTTGCACACTCACCCTAGCGTGCCATCATTGCAACATGGCATACAGAATAAATGATTTATCACATGTCTGTCTGTTCTCTGCACATACTGTTTGGGTTTGCCTGACAACAAAGCAAAAGTCAGGTGTGATGCAGCTGAACTAGAATGAGACTAAGCAGAGGCATCGCCAAATAATGACTGTGGTCCTTATAATTTGTGTGCAGTGTACTTACTCATGAGCAAAGCACTCCACAAGCTTTGTCTTTGCTGTTTGCTTAAGATCATGAATGTTAGTTTCCCATAGGGGAGAGACTGGCCCCACAGCAGAGCTACATCAAAGCTGAAAATATGTTAGCCCTGACCTACCGTCTCCCTCCAGGACCCAGCCTTTTTTCTCCGCTGTCCGTCACCACTACGGCCCACTGCTACCTCTCAGTCCCAGAGGGACTTTGAAAACCATCAGCTGAC